GGCCAAACGGGGCCCTTTTCTCAAAATCGGGGTCCCGAGAGGGGATGTGGAGCCAAGCCTCTACCTGGAAAAAACACTCTAGAATTTCTGCCTTGCAGTGCAAAGCCAGTGTCACACAGGGGAGACCCTGGGTTTCTGGGGTGTTTGTGGGCCCAGGCTGGGGGAGGAGGTATCGAGGAGGGGCAGGCCACAGAGAGTCTGGCCTGGTGTCACCCATGTTGCACCCCCACCCCTGAGCTGAAGAGTGTCAGGACCCCTCACCAAGGTGCCTGAAATAGCTTTCACGCCACGACCTTCCCGTTGGCCGCATAGAAGCCTTGATGAAAGTTTCAAACGTCCTTTTTAGAACAGCTTTCAAATTACAGCACAGTGCGGCGGCTGCTCGCTCCCAGCCCAAGGGGAGTATGCGCCGGAGCCCAAGTTCCCCGCTCACTTTTGGAAGCGATGTTAGGGTGACTTGCATGAATTTCAAAAGCAAGCACTCAGTGACGCATTTGTAAAAGCAATTTTGTAATTGCAATCTGAAATTATTTATTACTCCAAGAGTGGCATGTAATTTCTAGTATGCGTTTACGGATGTGGTAGTGGTGGTTTAGTTGCTGAGTTATGTTCGACTCTTGCGACCCCATGGACTGTGGCCTGCCAGGCTCCTCTGTCCATGGAATTTTCACTGTCAGAGTAGCCTGAACCTATTAGAAGAATTCTTGCTCTTATAGCAGATAAAAGAATATTAAAGTTACACACAACGCGTATATGTACTCTTAATAACGTTCTCTCTCAAACACACATGCTCACAAGCTCTGGCCACCTCTGTGTCAATGAAGCCAACATGGAATTTAGCAGATTTTAAGGACTTTCTTTATTGGAAGAAATCATATGTGAAGCCATTGAAAGGGATAAAAAGCAGATGATGAAAACCCAGGAATGGGGGAAATGTGAAATCTGAAACTGTAAGGTGGTGAGTATTCTTCTTCTGTTTCAGAGCATCCAAGGAGCCTGGAGGGGTTCTCTGAAGCCACTGCCTCTTAATAATGACAGTCTAGAAATTTAAACACAAGACACTTGGTAAGAGCGCCAGGAAGCCTGGAACCTGGGCTAAGAGGCTCTGAGGGTTTTCGGGACTACAGCTCTCAGTCCAGCCATTCCTGCTGGAGAAGAAGTTTCCTGTGGGGACACAGCCCCCTGGGGCCAGATGCCCTCTGGGGGTCCATTCTCCTCAGATAACTGGTAGTTTTCCAAGTAGACCCTTAGGTCACTCAAAAAATCACTTGGAAACTTCTTAAAGAAAAAGCCATGCTCTTTGGAACATCCCGATTTCCTTAAAGGATTGATGCATTCTTCCCATCTTTTGGAAACATCTGGTCTATCCTTGTCAAACTCAGGGTCAGGGAAACACTGTAACTAAGGGGGTAGCAGGAAGGTGATGGCCCCCCGGGACTGGCATTGGGGCAGGACCTGTCACCCGTGCTCACTGGAGAGAGCGTCAAGGTCCGCAAGAGACCACAACTGCTTTGCTCTGGGTCCTACCCACGGTGCCCAGTGTAGGGCAGGGCATTCGGAAGCACCCAAAATAGTGACAGTCAACTGTGCTGGGACCTGGGGCCATGGCTGAGGGTGAGATGCTTTATACAACCATCGCAAAAGGCACAGTGGGAAGACCCAAGGGCTTGGTTTATTTATTATTTTTAAAAAGCTATCATTGTTGAGAACATTCTTGAACTGACTTCTGAGATGGTTCACAATAATGGCAAGCTCCCACAGGAGTACAGTTTTTCCTGAACTGGCCACCCCTGGGGTCTGGGGCCTGGCATCGGGCATCCTGGCAAGCCAAGGACCACCCCGGCTCCCACTGCCCCTGAGAATTGTCTGTGTCTGGGGACCCGATGTTACCTTCCGTGGAAATGGGGTAGAAGCACCAGGGCACTTGGGGGATGGTGTCGGAGAAGCAGCACTTCCGGGACTCACACTCCTCAGGACTGATGCCGGGGTAGCCGCAGTCCTTGCGGGCTGAGACCTCCATGACACACTCCTCCAACTCTGCAGGGCACACCGGGTTTAGGTATAACAAGGGGATGCGGTTAGGCTGGTTAGTTAGCCAGACACATCCATCCCATCCTGCTAGGGGAGCACTTTGGGCTCACAGGTTCGGGATAGCACCAGGGGCTCCTGGGACTGTCACCCCTGGACTAAATGTGGGCACCAGCAGGTGGCCACCCCTTCTTCCTGATGCCCAAAGTCAAAGGGAAAGTTGCTTCACCTCCATGGACTTGACATGGCTCTATAAAATGGAGTTGCCCACACTACATCCTAGGAGGACCCTTTAAAGCTAGAAAGCGTTTGACCAAGAATTGAGTGTCTTCCCTGGTGGCTAAGAATCTGCCTGCAATCCAGGAGACCTGAGTTCGATCCCTGGGCCGGGAAGATCCCCTGGAGATGGGAATGGCAACCCACTCCAGTATTCTTGCCTGAAGGATCTCAAGGACAGAGGAGCCTGGTGGGCTACAGTCCATGGGGTTGCAAAGAGTTGGACATGACTGAGTGACTAATACACAAAGAATTTTATGCGTTTACGGATGTGGTAGTGGTGGTTTAGTTGCTGAGTTATGTTCGACTCTTGCGACCCCATGGACTGTGGCCTGCCAGGCTCCTCTGTCCATGGAATTTTCACTGTCAGAGTAGCCTGAACCTATTAGAAGAATTCTTGCTCTTATAGCAGATAAAAGAATATTAAAGTTACACACAACGCGTATATGTACTCTTAATAACGTTCTCTCTCAAACACACATGCTCACAAGCTCTGGCCACCTCTGTGTCAATGAAGCCAACATGGAATTTAGCAGATTTTAAGGACTTTCTTTATTGGAAGAAATCATATGTGAAGCCATTGAAAGGGATAAAAAGCAGATGATGAAAACCCAGGAATGGGGGAAATGTGAAATCTGAAACTGTAAGGTGGTGAGTATTCTTCTTCTGTTTCAGAGCATCCAAGGAGCCTGGAGGGGTTCTCTGAAGCCACTGCCTCTTAATAATGACAGTCTAGAAATTTAAACACAAGACACTTGGTAAGAGCGCCAGGAAGCCTGGAACCTGGGCTAAGAGGCTCTGAGGGTTTTCGGGACTACAGCTCTCAGTCCAGCCATTCCTGCTGGAGAAGAAGTTTCCTGTGGGGACACAGCCCCCTGGGGCCAGATGCCCTCTGGGGGTCCATTCTCCTCAGATAACTGGTAGTTTTCCAAGTAGACCCTTAGGTCACTCAAAAAATCACTTGGAAACTTCTTAAAGAAAAAGCCATGCTCTTTGGAACATCCCGATTTCCTTAAAGGATTGATGCATTCTTCCCATCTTTTGGAAACATCTGGTCTATCCTTGTCAAACTCAGGGTCAGGGAAACACTGTAACTAAGGGGGTAGCAGGAAGGTGATGGCCCCCCGGGACTGGCATTGGGGCAGGACCTGTCACCCGTGCTCACTGGAGAGAGCGTCAAGGTCCGCAAGAGACCACAACTGCTTTGCTCTGGGTCCTACCCACGGTGCCCAGTGTAGGGCAGGGCATTCGGAAGCACCCAAAATAGTGACAGTCAACTGTGCTGGGACCTGGGGCCATGGCTGAGGGTGAGATGCTTTATACAACCATCGCAAAAGGCACAGTGGGAAGACCCAAGGGCTTGGTTTATTTATTATTTTTAAAAAGCTATCATTGTTGAGAACATTCTTGAACTGACTTCTGAGATGGTTCACAATAATGGCAAGCTCCCACAGGAGTACAGTTTTTCCTGAACTGGCCACCCCTGGGGTCTGGGGCCTGGCATCGGGCATCCTGGCAAGCCAAGGACCACCCCGGCTCCCACTGCCCCTGAGAATTGTCTGTGTCTGGGGACCCGATGTTACCTTCCGTGGAAATGGGGTAGAAGCACCAGGGCACTTGGGGGATGGTGTCGGAGAAGCAGCACTTCCGGGACTCACACTCCTCAGGACTGATGCCGGGGTAGCCGCAGTCCTTGCGGGCTGAGACCTCCATGACACACTCCTCCAACTCTGCAGGGCACACCGGGTTTAGGGATAACAAGGGGATGTGGTTAGGCTGGTTAGTTAGCCAGACACATCCATCCCATCCTGCTAGGGGAGCACCTTGGGCTCACAGGTTCGGGATAGCACCAGGAGCTCCTGGGACTGCCACCCCTGGACTAAATGTGGGCACCAGCAGGTTGCCACCCCTTCTTCCTGATGCCCAAAGTCAAAGGGAAAGTTGCTTCACCTCCATGGACTTGACATGGCTCTATAAAATGGAGTTGCCCACACTACATCCTGGGAGGACCCTTTAAAGTTAGAAAGCATTTGACCAAGTATTGAGTGTCTTCCCTGGTGGCTAAGAATCTGCCTGCAATCCAGGAGACCTGAGTTCGATCCCTGGGCCGGGAAGATCCCCTGGAGATGGGATCTCCACTCCACCCCAGTATTCTTCTGGAATACCAGTATTCTGGAATACCCCACTCCAGTATTCTTGCCTGAAGGATCTCAAGGACAGAGGAGCCTGGTGGGCTACAGTCCATGGGGTTGCAAAGAGTTGGACATGACTGAGTGACTAATACACAAAGAATTGACATCCAAGGATCCTTCCACTACTGGATGAGCCCTGGCGATAGACAAACCAACCACCTGCCATCAGTTCCATTTCCCCCAGAGCCCAGGAGCCTCCGACCGGCTCCCCTGAGTGGTGTGGACGGGACCCGGGGCACTGAGTTCCACACAAATGGGTCTGCTTTGCAGACAGAACTTTTTGTGTGCTTGCCTTGAAACAGGTGACTTTTTAAGTTGATAATATGCACAGATACAAAACTCACTCTCAAAAGGTGACTCTAGAAGCCTTAACTTAATTTCTTAACATTTGGGGTCTGTTCGCAGTTATGTTAATAACATCCTGATTTTAATGCCTTCATCTCCCTTAGAAGCTGGTTCAGGAGCCACAGCCTGATCAAGCAGGTCCTGAGACTCGCTCTCCCTTCAAATACAGTCAAGCACCCGGATCCCCTGAAGTCTCCCTAAAAGGACAAATGGCTCACCCTCGGGATCTAATGTGGACACAGTGGGCAGAGAGCGTTTTCTCTTCCCTTTGGGCTGGCCTGGGTGGTTAGGGAGCCTGGGAAAGCCAGGTCCTGAGCTGCTGGCCGGGGCTCAGGAGGGGACCTTGCCCGTTACCTTGCTTCGGGAGGGGATTGAAACACCAGGGGACCCCGACGACGCTGGAGTCAAAGCAGCATCCTCTGGAGAAGCACTCATCACTGCTGATGCCTGGGAAGCCGCAGTTCACCCTGTTCTGGGGTTCCCGGCGCGAGCACTGGCAGGCATCTGCAGAGAAGCCCAGGTCAGCCAGCCACCCCCACGCGCCCCCGCCTTCCAGTGCTTCCAGGATGCTCCATCAGCTCCGCTCCAGCCCTGTAAAGGCCGTCTTATCTTGCTCATGTTTGAACCACACGGCGTCCTTCAGAGGAACTGTCAGGGCTTGGCTGAAAGTGTTTTATTAGTTTAAAAATAAATCCTTCTGGCAAGAGTGTGGACAGATGGACTCAAGCCAAGGTCAGGATGAAAGTGAGCAAGTCGGACCCCCTGGGAGACCTGGGTGGGACTCCTATCCAGCCCCTCCACAAGCTGGCCCACTCGCACCCAAGGCCGTCCTGACTGACCCCAAAGGGGGTCTTCCTGGGACATCTCACCCTCCTCCCCTGCTGTCCTCCCTGAATGGCGGGAAGCGGGTGGATGCATGTAGGAGCCAGCTGCATGGCCGGCATCCCTAGTCCTAGGACACCTTCCCACCTGCTTCCCCATCATCCACCTTTTCTCTTCCAGGGAAACTAATACAAATGAAGACCTCCCCCAACAGTGGGCAGGAGGCAAGGACCTCGCACCCCGCCACCCCCACCCTCTGGGTTCTAGAAGGCTCCCAGGCTCTCTGGCTCAGATGCTCCTCTTCCCCTCAGGAACCTGAACCTCCACTTACCTGGTTTCTGGGCCCCTGCCAGGGTGCACACACCCAGCAGGAGAAGCGCAGCCAGGAGCCAGATGCCTCGGGGTCCCATGTCCACGTTCATCCACACCCCAGGGCCACCAGAAGAGCGCACACTCCCCACTGCCAGGGGTGTTTATAAGCGTCTCTCTGTTTGCTCAGCAAGCAAGATAACCTGTCTGCCTGCAGCACCAACGATTTGAGCCCTTTGTTAGGAAAACGAGTTGCGATAGCTTGGCCAGCAGGGGGTGGGGGGTAGGAGTGACAGAGCAGGGCACCGGCTCTCCGCAAGCACAGCCAGGCTACCCCCCTGCCCCAGGCAGGGAGCCGGGTCATGCCAGGATGCCGACGTGGAAGATAGCACATGTGCACGTGTGGCGTTGGGCACTGACAGGGTTCCGCCCAGGAAGGGAGAAGTTAGGGATTTCTCCTGATAAAGCATGTGGCTAACGCCACAGGAATTTTTAAGTCCTGGGCCCAAGGCTACCAGGGAAAATGAGCCAACTGCAGACAGAGCTGACCCCTTCTCCAGGAACAGGAGGATGGCAGGAGACCCTCCTCCAGGGCTTCTGGTCCTTGATCTGTGTCTCCTTGTCTCTGTCTTGGGAAAGGGATGGATCTCCATGGAGATGAGGCTGACAGGGTAAAACGAACAGCCTCGGATGAGTGTAAAAGTGACAAGTTCATTTCAGCAAAGCCTGTATGTGTGCTAAGTCACTTCAGTCATGTCTGACTCTTTCAACCTTATGGACTGTAGCTCACCAGGCTCCTCTATCCATGGGATTCTCCAGGCAAGAATACTGGAGTGGGTTGCCATACCCTCCTCCAGGGGATCTCCCCAACCCAGGGTTCAAACCTGTTTCTTAAGTCTCCAGCTTGGGCAGGCAGGTTCTTTATCATTGCTGCCACCATTTCTTTTCTTCCATGAGAATTGTATGTTTTCTGAAAGATGGCACCTGTGAACCAGCCTGTGCCCAGCATAAGCTGCTCCAGGGGAAGGGGTCTGAGAATGGGACCCAAAGAGACAAAAGAGAAATGGGGGGAAGGCACCCCATGGGAGCAGAGGAGAGATGGGGTGAGGTCAAGGACGCTCATGTCCCCCAACTCTGGGGCACTTCTGGGAACCACCAATCTGTCAAGCATGGCTTGAGCAGTCAGGAACCGAAGATGCATGGAGTCTGGAACTCTGGGTCTTCGAGTCTGGAGAGCAGACCTGCATGCTCAGGGCTTCTGCCAGCTCCAGCCTACAGATTGGACTCCTGCCTATCCCCCTGGCCTGGGGCTCTGTCTTATCAAACTTTGAAAAATTCACCTTTCCCCGCCTACACAGGAATGGTGCTGTCACCATTCAGCACCACCAGGACACAGGATTCTGAGTCTTCTCTCCTCTTCCAGGTTCTCAGCCCCACTTTCCTCTCTGCTTCTTCCCTCTTGGCCCAATTTCCCAATGTCCCATCCAGGCCCTTCCAGGATTCCTGCTGAAACAGGCTGATCCATGCCAAAGAGACGGCTCATCAGTCCCTTGGTCTCTGTCCTGCATCCTCTCTGGGAAGCTCCTTCTGCCTCCATCTTAGGTGGAGCTGCTCAGGCTCCCACCCAGGGCACCATCCGTCCACATGGAGTTTTTGCTTTTAGGAAAGGGCACATTTTCTTCAAGACAAGCTACTTCCACCTGTGGGGAAGTCATTACGATAGATGCAGTGTCTACAGTGTGAGCGGCACCCACCTGAGTGTGGACCTGTGTGCACAGAACAACCTCTCAGCTGTGTTGGGTGAGTGTGCTCCCATCACATGGGCTTAGGCTGGGGGGCTGGACACTGACCTTGAGCCACAGTGTCACCGAGGCTCCTTGAAGATGCATCTTAAAAAAAGATCCCGCATTCTGCAACGAAGTCAAACAAACAAGAAGAAAAAGAAAAAGTTTTACAGCAACCGAAGACACACCACCCTCAGGGGAGCGAGTTAAGAATTACAAGTGATCTCTCATCTGAAACAATGCAACATGGAAGGCAATAAAATATTTAAGCTCTAAAAGAGAAAACCTTGTCAAGTCAGAATTCTATACTCATGGAAAATTTCCTTTAAAAATAAAGGCAAAATACTTTTTAAAAATGTATACACACACACACACACACACACACATATATATATATATTTAGAGTGGCTCTAGAGTCATAGCTGAACTGAACAAAACATACCCAATATAAAAATTTTTTTTAATATTTGAGACAGACAAAGGCTGTAGGATGCTGTAACTTGCCAACCTATCCTCCAAGGAATCCAAAAGTGTGGAATCTGAAGCTGCGGTGGTCTCTTGATGCAGGGCATGAGTTCTGCTGTCTGCTGCAGCCACTGCCCACCTGGCTGGATTTATTCAGCTGTGGCAGCTGTTGGTCTCTGTCAGCATTTGTGTTTGCAGCCCAGTCTAGTCTCCTGATATCTCCCTTGGTTGGTACAACTGTCTACTAACTAATGGCTCAGCCAGAGCTTTGTCCCCATGCAGACGTAAGTCTGCTGCCTTGATCAGCTTTATAAAGTGACAGTCAGTATATGTCACTCCTCGGCCGCCCCCTCACACCTTCCAGCCTGAAGGGTAAAGCCCAAGCAAGAGTTTCCTGAACATGAAAAGCAGGACCCTTTATGAACTGGACCCCACATTCCCCTCACCCTCTTCTCTTGTCAGGTCTCCTTCCTATGTAAGTATCTAGCCCTCCTGGTACAGCCTGACCTCTGACCCTTTGCCTGCATGTCACTGTCTTTCTGCAAAACTCTTCCTCTTCTCTTTGCCTTCCAAACTCCTGTCCATCCTTCAGCTCTAGCCTCAGGAGCCACTCCACCCAGGAAGGCCTCCTTCTCCTGAGGGAAGGCAAGTGCCCTTCACCCCTCCCCAAGCTCACTAGATTCACCACACAGTCACATCCTCATTTTAAGAGGAGTTTTACTTTTCTGTCTCCTTTATTCATGGTACTGAAGGTAATAGCTAAACCGGCAGGTTAATTTTGTGCCAGGTGATATTCTGACAATTTCACATGCTACATCTCATTTAATTCTTACAACAATACAAAGAAGAGTTAAAAAGATCAGCCCCATTTTATAGTCTATATGGAAAATTAGTTTTCCCAAACGCACAGAAAGTGTGGGATGACATACAGAATTGGACCTATGTCTCTTTCATCTTGAAACCCCAGAACCTAACCCAGCATCGGCACAAACTAGACCTACTTAGTGAGGGTAACGCACCCGGGAGGTGAGGAGCAGGCCACCAGTTAATATCATGGATCACCCAAATTTCCTCCTGAAATTCTTAAAATAAAACTTAGACCTGGGTATATGCAAATAAGTAAGGCAAGCCTCTTCTTCTCTCTGGACTAGTTTTCTCATCTGTGAAACAAGAGCTGGAATGAGGGTATATTAAATGATCTCCAATGTCTCATATGCCTGGTAAACCCTCACTAGGATGCTGACTAAGATAACATCTCACTTTTACACTGTCATTGGGAGAAAAAGAAAAATTTTATTACCAACATTTGCATGTTCAGTGTTTCTAAGGCACTTTCTCTCCCCACCATTCTAATTTTCTGGAGTTTGGCTCTGCTGATCAATAGAGTGGGTAAGTCACAGACACTGCCAAAGCCCAAGACTTAATTTATTTACTTAAAACAAAGTGGCTAAAGTTGTGATGAGAAAGAAATAGATAAACCAACTATTGAGCATTTGGTACTGAGTTTGGGAGGGAGTGAAATTAGAGACTTTGATGAATTATATTTGGGGGTATAATTGGATGGACATAAACCTTAGCATTTTTCAATATATTGTGCAATGGAATTCCTCCTCCTACTACTTTGAAGGACTTTAGCCAAGATTTACATTATTTCAAAATGTCTTTTTGGTATCCCTTTTGTATCTGAGTGGGAGCTTGGTAGTATTAAAGCTTAAAAATACTTAAATAATTTAGGTTACCACGTTTTAAGGAAAAAAATAATATAGTAGGCGTTGGCAAATGATGACCCATGAGCTCATTGCCTGTGTTTAACTAAAACTCTATTAAAACACAGTCATACCCATTCATTCACACATTGTCCGTGGCCACTTTCTAGCTGCAATTGAAGAGTTGATTACCTATGGCAGAGACCGTATGGCCCAGGAACCTAAAATATTTACTCTCTGGTCTTTTAAGAAAAAAAAAAGTTTATTCCTGTACTTTATTACAACTCTAGAGATAAATTTTTAAAAGTAGAGAGAAATAATCATATTTTATTTTATAAATGAAATGTTACAGAAATGTGCCTTAGTGTTTTTTTCCCCCTTCTGTTGTGAAAATGGTATGTTCAGTATTCTGGTTGCCGGGAGACAATCCCCTATGAGTCTCTCATGTTTCCACATGTTGTGAATGAGGCACTAACTGTCCCAGTGGTACAGGACCTAAAATTATAATTGAATGTTAAGTGCTGCCCTGACATCTGGTGAAATCGAGAGGCCTCGAGTGGCCTAACCACGAGTTCTCTGCCCTACTTGGCTCCCACAGATAGGGCCCCTTAGCCAAGCAACCTTCTTATCAAGGGGCCGGGCACAGTTCCTGCTTGTCCCCGAGTAGCGGATTTCACTTCCCTGCCAGCCTGCAGGCTTACTCAAACAAGCCAATCACATCGTCTTGCAGGAATGAGTGGGCACCCCACCCTTTTGATACCACATGGCTCCTCCTGCAGCCCCCGCTGTTCACCCTATTTCTTATGCAACCCCCTCATGGCTCAGCATGGCGGGATGGCCTCCGCTTCTGGGGTGAGCAATGTGTGACTGGTAAACTGCTATCGTCCCATCTTTTCCAGTGTCAGGTGTCATAGGTCTCACCATCCTTGTAGCCTTGGGTGGAAACCACCCCCTCCCCAGTGAGATGAATAGGAGGGTGATCCAAACTGTCCTTTCTTCCAGGCTGGCTTTGCAAGGATGTTGGTGTGGCAACAACCTTGGAACATTTATAAGGTATCTCCCTTTGGAGCAGTGGGCAGGCAACCTTGCGTACATGTGTGCTTACTTGCTCAGTCATGTCCAACTCTGCAGCTCCATGGACTGTAAGTCCGCCAGGCTCCTCTGCCCATGGAATTTTCCAGGCAAGAATACTGGAGTGGGTTTCCATTTCCTTCTCCAGGGGATCTTTCCGATCCAGGGAT